TCCCACTCCCACCCATTTTCTTCATTGTAAAAATCCCTCACCAGATGTCGCTTGACTATGGTTGGCTTTATGTGGTAAAGCTTTCATTCAATGTTAATTGCTCAAAACATGCATGAAACCAAATTGCACTTGAGTTGCGAAAAATAAAGCATTCTGCAACTCATTTGAAACTCAGCTGCAGCAAGTTTCATAAAGCACCCAATCAAAATAGCGCATCATGTGATTGACATACTTTCAAACCACTGATTTCACCACATTAGTGGACAAAAAAATTAAACAGAAGATGCTTTTTGGGCAGTTAAAAAGGAGACATCATGAAAAGGAGCATATCAGCTGTGGCTGCTGTGTCAGTTATCTGTGTACAGCTGTATCTTTTCAACTCTCTCCAAACAATTCAAGGAATAAAAGAGATGTAAACGTAACAATTTCAGCTCCCCCAACTTAAAACATACATGTCGTAGTATTAGTGACTTAGAAACTACAGGAATAAAATGTTGCCAATTATACTCAAATAAGATGTGAATTTAGATGATAATTCCTGCTCATTAATTTGCATAACAAGGTCTTAACAAAGTGTTCAATGTGTATTATTACACACATAATAGTGCAATTATTAGTGATTTTTATGCAACAGAGCACCAATTATGCATTAATACAGGTCATCATGAATAAAGCTTAATGCATATTAAACGATTTAGAAATGTCTTGGGCTTAACTGAACTAAGAACAAGACCCCAATGGACCCCCGATATGTGTTACTTGAAATATGTTATCAAGTTCACATATCACACACTACCAAGCTGCAATGTGTCTATTCTCCCTTATGTCTCCTGTGCATTTCCAAGCGTAGACTAAAAATACTAAGAAAGGGTGGCAAAGCACTTGGAAAAATCAATCCTCATGTAATTACAGTAGCATGTGTCAAATGAAGTGTTATCTGGTGGCTCAAACAAGAAGTCTCGGGCCCTTGGGCCACAATCTGGCCAGCCTTGTCCGGCACATTCCAGATCTCTGTGAAAGATTGGTTTGTTTAGTCTGTAAATCAATGTCACTCTTCAGTGATGTCCCTGCCATTTCAAAGGAGAGATATGAATTGCATCTGTCACAAGCAACAAAAGAAATATACATCAGGAAAGGGCAGCCTTTGACTCTTAATAGTACACAGATGTGCTCTACAACAAAAGGCCCACGAGAGGAGAGCCCTGAGCTGTGCTGAAATAAATAGATTTTTCCATCGCTGCTTCGCTGGGAGGGCAGAGGGCACTGTGATGGGAATTTAATGTGGCAGTAGAGTGGAATGCAGTCTCGTGTTATTGTGAAGGCTGGAGTGGAGACAAGCTTCCTCTGGCTTTTTCAATGTACAGTAATAACAGCAGCACACCTCAAATGAACCTGCTAAATGATGAATATTTCTGTCCATCATTTGTCTGCTTTGTGCTTCAAAGTACACTAAATGCAATGCTTTGTAGGGGAAATTATCCAGTTATCTAATAACAAAAAATTAGATCAACTGACTTCAAAAGGTATTGAGGGCAATAAATCCCAGGAATGTAGTGATCCAGATGATATTTCAGAATTAGTTGGATCAAAGAAATTCAGTAAATGTGTCAACATTTCATCAGGAGAGAAAATACTGGGGGGCTTCTTCTAACAAGGTACCATACATTAAGTAAAGATCCAAAAAGGCTTTGGAATTATGCTAATTTAGTTCCCTAAGGGCCTCTCAAAGGATGTTTTTGAGGCTCTTGATTGAAACCTGTCAACCACCTCATGAAACTACCTTTTACTTACTTAATCACTCACTCACTCACATTTAGCAGGCTAAAATATTTCAAAAGGGGGCACCATTAGCAAGTCAAATAGCTTATAATGCTGCTCAAGGGATTTGCATGAGTGACGTTTACATTACATGTAATTTGCAAATTTTTATATTTAGAATAAAATATATCAAATATACATTTTAAATTATTTTATTGAAAAGAGTAAAGTTAATAAGACAATATGATAAAACTTTTTAGCAATAAGTTCTGATTTGTAATATTTCTTTCGATTTGTGTTTACACAAGCTCAGAGAGCAAGTGTACCAAAGGGGAAAAAATGTTATGGACATTAATGGGTTAAAAAGCAGCAAATGGAACTGAGGCCTAACTGCACCCAAGTTGTCATTGCCCTGTTGCACAGAAAAAATGAAAGCCAAACACAATATGGTAGCAATATGGTAGCTAACAAATACAACTGTTAAATGTTTACTGAATAATATATATATATATACATATATATATTATTCAGTAATATATATATATGAATAATATATATATATATATATATATATATATATATATATATATATATATATATATATATATATACATATGCCTAATATTCATGTACTGATTCTCACCATGTCTACTAACTGGCTGGCAAGTCAGCCAGCAAAGCGTGCCTGCATTAAAACAAAGGGACAAGACTGTGTAAGAGAAATGCGCAATACTAGCATTCCACTGGGAATATCCGTCATGTGAACTTTCTCTTATTTCAGTTCATTATTTCTGAACAGATTCTCTTCTGCTCCGTCTTTTTGTACAAGCAACAAACAACAGCTGGTACGATAACAATGTAGGTTTTATTCTTCTCTGACTGGAACAGCACTCTGCTAGATTGGGGAGTTTAATATCCCTGGGTTGTGTTGTGTGTGGTAGACGGCTCCCATTTGTATTCACTGCTCTTACAGCAAATTTAGTGAGCCTCCTAAATAACACATTCCAGGTGCTTCAGGTTACAATCCCGTAATAGGAGGAGACAGAGGAAAATGATTGGTTTGAAGTGTGCATCACGGCAGCGTCCTCCTCCCTGACTGCTTAATAAAACAGCAATTCAAGGGTTAGATAGATGCCACCTCTGTTCAATTCTTAGCAGTGTGCATAAACCATCCCCTGGGAATTTGAAGAGGAGACGCTAGACGTGACACACTTGAATGTACTCTGAAGGGGAAAAAAAAGGAAGGTAGAGTTTTCTGCCTTTGGAAAGTCATGGATGTTAAACCTGCTTCATTTGTCATTGTATGAAAATGCTACCGTGTGCAGCATGCTTATCAGCGGGGTATAGTAACCCTCTCCACTGAGTGGGGTCAGGTTTCTTTCTTTCTGTACAGGTGAAACCTGCACTCAGGTAACAGGAGCTGATACAAAGCTGCTGTTCTTTTTACTGTGTTATGCACTTATTCAGATGCACCATCACACATTCCTAAGCACGGTTCAGCCACGACAAAGCAGATGTTTGAAACCGTCTGTCCTGTAAATGGGGGTGAATAACCTCTCCTTCAGATGATGATGTTGCTGGGATTGCTCAGTGGTATTCTGGTCTATGTACCCTGAATGTTGAATGACTCATAGAAGAGGGGTGTGTGCAGTGTGTGCATTTGTGTGTGTGTATGTGTGTGTGTGTGTGTGTGTGTGTGTGTGAGTGTGGTTGGGGTTGGGGTTGGTCTAAATAAAGTTAGAGACAAAACACACCTCTAAAACTGAACCAAATAAGTGATCATAGGAAAAGTTTATTTTACCAACAAATTGGGCTCAAGTGAACTTAAGAGTTTAAAACAGGTTGGACCTCAACAGTATCACTGAGGCCTAGATTAATTACACTGTGAGGTCTCTTTCTGCAGGCCCTCTAGTGGCCATTCTGCTGGCTAAATGGAAATTTTTTTAAATAATATAATCAAATAAAATGTACAGCACATCAGATTAACTAGGACACTTCTGGCTCTCTATGTGAGAAATATTGTAACTCTGATAGTGAGCAATGAGGGATGATCGGGGAGGTGTGAGACCCCCCTGCTGTGAAAATGATTCATACCTCTCCACAAAGTCAGACATGCCAGAGCAGCACAACTGCATACTTGATATATAAAAATCTAACTGCCACAATAAACAATAGCATTTAAACACAATCAAAATATTTTTGTTAATGTTGCTCATTTACAAAGGCAAAAAATCCAGTTTGTTTCTTTTAGATGATTTTCTAATTCATACACATTTCCATGTATATATTCCTTATTCCTATAGTTATTAAATAAAAATGGCTCCTGTACGTGTAAATATAATCTGGTGTTTATTTAAAGTTCACGCATTAAAAACAAAGATGCTAACAAGGGTTCTTTCGAGTGATGCCACAGAACCACTCTTGGTCCCCTAAAGAATTTTTCAATGGATAGCTCTTTAAAAGACCTTTCTAGGTTCTGTACCAATTACAGATCACAGCCGCACATCTAAGCCATGAAGCATTTAGCAACCTTTAATTTTAAGAGTGCAAATGATTTTACTGATAATTCTGTAGAATGAAGCAATCCTTTAAAAATTATTTCATTATAACTCGGTACTTTTCTACATTCTTACCAAAAAAGCTTCTATATATCACCAAATTAAGGTTCTATGACTTTTAACTATAACGAAGGCCTTTTTTAGTGCTATACAGAACCATTTTTATGACACATTTCTATCATAGAGAAGACCCATTTAACCATGTAAAGAACTATAGTTCTATGTGTGTCATGATTCTATATATAAACATTGCCTTTAATAAAGACCTCCTGAAAAATCCTTGAAGATTCTTGAATATTTAAAAAACGACTACTTCAGTCTAAAAGATAAAGATGACAAAATGTACGCTTTGGATCAGCGCCATTCCATGAATGATAACATAGTTACAATTCTAACTTATGAAAAACAAAAAACATGCTTCTGTTTCAGTAAACAACCTTACTGTGGATGGTTCTTTCATTTGCGTAAATAAGATATGTGTGGTTTTTACAGTTCAAAGAACCTCCACATCATGTAAAGAGTCTATACTAATTAAGCTCAAGAACCATTTAGGAACCTTCATTGTTAAGACTACACTGATATGAGCTGAAGTTTTGACTAAACCATAATTTCAACCTGGACTTTCATGATTCTGCACTTGTTAAATGGACAAAGACACCTTTTCAGCATAGTGTGGATCCATACCTGCTCTGGTCCCTGGAAGCATATCCTGCACACCGGTGTGCCCTCAGCATAACTGATGAAGGAGAAGCGCTCGTCCCGTTTGTCTTTGGAGAACTCCTCGGCCGCTGTGGCCCTTTGCGCATCCGGCCCCACTGCACCCTCTGTTGAGGGGGCGCTCCAGTGCTGGAGCCGAAAGCTGGTGTTGTTGTTGTTGGCTGCACATGAGCACGGGTTGCCTTCGCTTTCACGGCGTGTGGCCGGCGGTCCGCTCATGGGGCTGAGCACAGGAGGCGCCTGTGGAGCCTGTGGAGCTTGTTGAGCCTGCGGGACCTGAGAGGCCTGTGGCCTGAGCAGCAGCACCTTCAGGTCACTGAAAAGAACACAGCAGCGGCCCTTCAGCATGCCGGGGCCACACAGCATCCACCTCTTGAGTAAAAAAACGATGCCCAGTGGTGCTGGTGACTGTCAGTACTTAGAGAAACTCTCTGTGAAGAATGTAAAAAGGATGTGAATATTTCCCAGTATTCCTTTAAACAGCTACAAACTTGCTGGTCAGTGATGATGGCTTCATTGCTGAAAGGTTCATTGTCCCTCAGACCCACATAGGACACATATGATTTTGTGCAATATTCATTTCCAGCAGATACGGATTGCACAAATGTAAGCAGGTGTCAGAAGCCATGGGATTCAGTCAGAAGAGAAACCAATGCTATTAATCAATAAGTAATCCAGATTTCCAGGCACTGGTCCCACAAATGATAACATAGTTATGATGCTAACCTATGAAAAACGAAAACCATGCCACATAAAATGTCACACTGTTGTGTTTTCTGTAACATGAGCATGTTGGACAGCCCGAGGAGTCTCCAGGTTGAAAAAGCAGCCGGCTCCAGTCCAGTCAATGCGATGGCTTCTGAAGTGCACAACGTCCTCACCTACTTTCCAGCACTTCTGCTCTATTGATTTCTCCTCGCTGCATCTTTTCTCACACGCTCGTAGTAAAACATACGCGTAGCTTCAGCGTATTTGCGTGCGGGCTACTTCACATTTTCATCCCGTGAGGCTGGCAGCACTTCCAGCACAACTCGACTCAATCCTCACCCATCCTCGTCGCTCCACGTAGTCGTGCTCGCCTCCAGCAGCGTTTAGAAGAGAAACGGCTTATAATCCAAGCACGGAGCTGCAGGCTCAGCTTTTCTAGCGCAGATAAGTCAGTTTTTGCCTCTCAGGACTGCTGCTGGTGCCCGGAGCCTCTCTCGGTGGCTCTGCTCTGCAGGCTGGCTGGCGCTGCGGTTTCAGCACCACGCTTGCCGGGACAGCTCCCCAACAGCAGCGTCACCCAAACCTGCGTGACGATACTCAGCTCCTCCCAGCTGCCTGCGAGGACTCATCACTCTGTATTAAAACCAGCCTCAGGCCCCCTCTTCGATTCACGTTCAGACTCGTTACTGATGTTACTGAACCGCTGGTTGGGCATTTGATACAGTAAAGGTTGCGTTTCCAAAGCGTAAAACTACCTATTTCCAGACTAAACACATCTATTTTTTTTATTATTTATGACCTTAGCTCTGTATTATGGTGCTACTATTCTGTATGTCTTAATGTTGATCTTACAATGACACTAGTTTGCTTTAGTAACCCACACAAATGTTCACACAAAGATAGTTCACTGTGGACACACATTGATCATGCACATTAGATATAGTAGTAATAAAACTATAACACAGCACTGTGCAAAAGTCTTTCACTTATTTATGGCCATTAAGTACAAGTTATTCTTTTTTTCAGAGAATAAAAAAGAATAAAGCTTATATATAAAAGAACATAGACATAATTTTTTTCAGTATTTAGTGTTCCCTCCTTTGTCTTTATTACAGCTTCCATTCTTTTTGAGAGATCTGCAGGGGTATTTGTCCACAAAAAAGGTCCAAAGTTCAGTCTTAGAAGCTGGTTGCGGTTTCTGCTATAATCCCAAACACATTTGGTGATGTTTAGGCCTGGACCCTGGGGTGGTCAGTCCATTGTTCTGAGAACAGTAGCAGCTTCATTGTTTGATTTGCAAGTTTTCTTCTTTTTTGTCTATTTTTGTTTCTCAGTAAGGGCTTCTTGACAGCTGCACATCCTTTCAGACCCATAGTGTTGAGATGTCTCCTCACAGTGAAGGACGGACAGAAACACCTGTGGATTTTTTCAGATCTGAAGTAAGAATGGAACTTGATTTTCTCCTCTCTATCAAAGATGAAAGCTTTTAGTGCTGTTTATCTGATGGAGACAGTTTTCGTGGGCTACCCGGTCTTTCATGGTTGTTTAGAGCCCCTTTTTTCTCTATAACTTTTGATGTTCTGTACTCCATTTTTTTTTCCTTTAGCATTTTTTTCTGCCTTGCGCAAGTGAATTATCTTATATCTAGTCTCCTCAGAAATATCTCCCGAAAAATTAATAACTTGTATATAATGACTGATTTTAACTGGTTAAAAAAACAAAGGGTGGTCTTTAACTTTTGCATAGTACTGTATGTAATCATAAATAGATTAAAAAAACAAGGTAATGAACAACCACCACACTATTTCACATGTACCCTTTATGTTGAACTGTGTTTATAGCTGTAATGCCTGGAGTTGCTTTTTCCAGTTTGGTAGTGATTTAGAGGCTGCATTGTGTGTGGTGTCCTTGGATAAGTTATGTCCAGTTGTTGTAAAGGAACTGATGCTGCTTTGTCTCTTTACAGGGACTGTGGACTTGTAAATTGTTTGTTCAGTAGGATGACTTGCTGTTTGGAGGGTATTTGGGTACTTAAGGGAACCTGTATTTAATGCAGCTTAAATGTATCTAATCCTGTCCTAAAATCAAACACTTAAATGATCAACATCAAGAGGAACTTTATTGCCAGTAAACAGTGGAATGAATGTGCAAGTGATAGACCATTACAAATAGCAGCGTATATATATATATATATATATATATATATATATATATATATATATATACACACACCGATCAGGCATAACATTATGACCACCTCCTTGTTTCTACGACGTGTCTGATCCACTCGTACCAGCGCAACACACCACCACCACGTCCGTGTTAGTGCAGTGTTGAGAATGATCGACCACTGTGAGTAGGAAAGTATGGATGAGCAAACTGCTTGTTTCTAAAAGTCAAATTTCTTAAATGACAGTGTTAAATAACCCATTACAGACTTTCTTTTTGGGAAGTTGTTGCACTCACAGAAATAAAAAAGGCTGGTAAACAGAAATAAAATATTTAAATCTATACTATATATAGATAAATACTATGTTGATAAGAAACAGAAAAATGATTCCAATGAACTTTGCAATAGATATAATCCCAAAAGAGAGGTTTTATTATCAATGGTTTTAATTTTAATTTATTTTATTTTAACCAGAAAATGAGTAAATAAATAAATTATCATAATAAATGGTTTTATAATTTTTATAAAGTCCCTCCACCGCTATTTTACGTCACACCCTGTCCAACGTCATGTCCGGTTGTGACGCGTCGAAGTTGAAAACTTTAGCTAGGTGAGCGGAGTGAGCGGAGTGAGCGGGAGCTGGACTGGAGATTTAATCTGTTAGTTAATGATTTTAAACATTATTGGATCTGTCCTGCCCTATCAGCGCAGAGCGGGGTACTGGTGTCCTTTTATCGCCCAGTTTAGCGCATGGAAAACCGCCTTGCTGAGTTGATTAGCAGCTCAGAGCTAACCAGAAGCTGCTGCGCTTTTACGACGAAGTTGATGTAAACATACACACACACACACACACACACACACACACACACTCTCTCACTCACACACACTCTCACTCACTCACACACAGCGACAAACAAACAGTGCAGCAGATTCAGATTCAGATGTACTTTAAACACTGTATCTAACTAACTAACTACCTACCTAAATCTACAGCGGTTTGCGCTTGTTTACTTTAAGTCGGGCTGGATGCGGATCGCTAGCTGTCTAAGTAGCTGCTATTGGTATAGAGGAAGGTGAATGCTCGGAACTTATTATTCTAGCAGGGATGTCAAGCAACCTGACCCCGGAACAGCAGAGGAAAATCGAGGAAAACAGACAGCGAGCGCTTGCGAGAAGAGCTGAGAGACTTGCACAGGGAAATCTTCAAGCTCCGCCTGCTCAAAACGAACTTTTCTCAAAGCAGCATGTCTCCCCAGCACCATCAAAACAATACACAACACCTTTTCCTGTAAACCGGGAAACCAAGCCCTCAACAAGCAGCACTTCCACTGCAAGACAGGTATGAACAATATGTGGCTTCACTGTGTCCTTCAGTAATAATCTACATACCCAGTTGTATTCTGTTTGTCTTTTCTCTCAGGCCCAGCTCATAGATCCTCTTCCCCTCCCTAAAAGATCATTTCCAAGTAATGAGTCTCAGGCATCCACTTCAGTTAGTTTCAACCCTCCTGGGCCCAAATCTGATGGAGCGAAGTCGACTTTCGAGGCTGGCAGTTTCTATGGACAGAGCCAGGGGACGACTACCCAGACTTCTGAGAAGCAGACAGCTAAACCTTCAGACACTGTCACTGCTGGGCCTGCGAAGAAACCAGCTGTGTCTGTGAGGGGGCGATGTGTGCCACACTCAGAGGAGCGTTTTAGAGTAGAGGTCGGCTACCATGCAGAGCTCATCGCAGTGTTTAAGAATATACCATCCAGAAACTATGGTAAGAAGACGTAACTGCAACTAGAAATTCACTCTTGAGCACATAGTGCAGATCCATATGTTTAAACATAAGTAATCTGTTATATACTTGTAATGTGAGATGTGAGAAGTCTTACACTACCATACAAAAAGTTTGGAATCAGTAAATCAGTGCAAATTGAGAAAGTGGCATGGCATAGGGAATAAAGTTATAATAAAACAAATATCCAGAATTTATCATATTTCAAAAATTGCGATCAATTTAATTGGCAAAAAATGTATGTGAATAGATTACACTTTTACTATTTAATAACTTCACAGAATTCTAGTCATATTGAATAAAGTGTCTAAAAATACTATTATACTATTGTATAGAAAATGACAAAGTTTTAATATGTTAAGTGACCTTTGAATGTATTTGTAATGTAAGTTATTTTATGGTAGCTTGTTACACCTTTGAACTTTTTAGCACCTGGAAGGGTATATCGTGTGTGTGTGTGTGTGTGTGTGTGTGTAAATGTATGTATCTATGCATTATATATACAACCCCATTTCCAGAAAAGTTGGGACGCTGTGCAAAATGTGAATGAAAACTAAATGCAATGATGTGCAGATTAAACCCTATATTTATTTTGGAAATAGTATAAAGACAACATATCAAATGCTAAAACTGAGAAATATGTATATGTATATGTGTATATATACACATATACATTTCTACATAAAAGCTACACTATATGCCCAAAGTTTGTAGACACCCACTTGTCCCACATGTCTTCCAAAATTAAGGTTATTGTTAGGGAGTTTGTTCCCCTTTGCTGCAGTAACAGCCTTCATTCTTCTGGGAAGGATTTACAGTAGACATTTACATTATTGTGAGTATTTCATTATATTCAGCCGCAAGAGCGTTAGTGAGGTCAGGTACTGATGTTAGATAATGAAAAGGGAGGGGGGGCTTTATACCCTCTAGCCAATTCTTGGCATTGGGCATCGTGACCTTGGGCTCACATGCAGCTGCTCCAGAGTGTCTCATTCTATTGGCAGTGCTTTTCTATGGAGATTATAGTCGCATGCAGAAGTTTGATTTTTTTTTTCTTCTTCTGAGTGAAACTAAGTTAGCACATCCTTGACAGATAACAAATATAAAGATGGCACTTTTCTGCAAATTATAGTGCACAGTTTCAGTTTATTTGCTGAATTTAGCATATTGGAAAAAATAAAATATAAAATATGCTGTAACTTTTGCACAGTCCACATTTATGTTTTATTTTATCAAACAGTGCACAGTGCTGGAGGAATGATCCTGCGCTTAATATTTTTCTTGCCTGCTGTTGTATGAGGGACAAAAATCAGAAAACATGCATGAAGCAGGCAGAAGTCATTGCATTTTAATGGAAAATTACAGTAATTAAGTAGTTGTAGTTAAATCATGTACTCCGCATTAACATTTGCATTCTAATAGGCTTTTTGTTGTGAATAACAGATTTCCTTTTTTGAGCTCGTCTTAAGGTTTTAATGTATTATTTGCATTTGGAAAGTCTTGATTCATACACAGGTGTGACTGTTATATTGACTTGCTGTGTTATTTGCT